CCCCCCCCAGCCTCGAGCGCTTGAGGCATTGGCAGAACCCGGCTCGCCCAGGAGCCTCTAGCCCGGCAACGGGGTCGTTTGAACACCCACCTCCGCGCCACAGAGGGGAAAAGGGGCGAGCGCGCATGTGCGTGTACACGCCTCTGTGTTTGTGTGCGCACGCGCGCGCTCTTGCGCGGGGGTGTTGCGTGTGTTTGCACACGTGTGTGCGTGTTCCTGGTTGGGGGGGTGCGTGCGTGCATGTGCACGCTTTGGGAGTGTGCATGTGCGTGTGCCCACGTGTGCATGTGCCGCCCCCCTGAGGTTGGCCCCCAACTCAGCACCGCTCAGGACAGGGCAGATTTTTTGCCACGGGGCTTACGGTGTTGGCAGGGAGCACTAAGCTGCGGCACAGTATAGGAGTAGATATGGGGCTTTTGCCCCTGGGCCCGCCCACAAATTGTGCCCCCACCCCGGATTCAGGAGTCACCCTTGGTGCATGCATGTCCATCTGTGTACACACACACACTTGGGGTGCACACATGTGTATGCACGCACTTGGAGTGCTTGTGCACATGTGTCCTGATCCTCAAGGGAAACTTACACAACACTTCCCAGAGACAAGCCTATGAACTCCATTTCATCAACCTCCTGGATACTAGAGATCATGGACTAAACATAGACACTGGATTTTTGATACATTATAATCTGCCTGGCAACTGACTCCCCAGCCCAGCCTCTGGCTTCTTTACTTTTCATTCCATCCAGGAAGAGCATACACCAACTGCTGAAACTTCCTTAGCCTGATGAAGGGTTTTTGAACCCGAAAGCTTGCTTAATAACTATTCTCCAACTATTTGGGTTGGTCTAATAAAAGATATCAAATTCACCCAAGGAACCTTGTCTGCCTGTGCACGTGTGCATTTGGCTGATATGCATATGTGTGAGCTCACACTTGGAGAGGTATGCATGTGTGTATGCCTGAATGTGTGCGCTTTGGGGGGGAGGAAGGGGCGTGTGTGTATTTACATGTCTGCATGTGTCCTGTGTCTGTGTGCTTGCAGGGATTTGTGCATGTGCGCGTCTGGGGGCAGGAGGGTTAAGTTTGTGGCAACTGTCAATCCTCCTGGATCATGGTGGATGCATGAGGGCCACCCAGACCTTCCGTGCATGCCTGGGCAGGAGGAGTGGAGGCTGCCCAGACTTTCCATCCTCCCTTTAGGGCACTAAGAGAGAATCCAAAGACCAGACTGCATCCAGATGTCTGGTGCCTCCATGGCTGTAGGAGTCATGTAAGTGTCTGGGAATCAAACTCAAGTCTCCTGTGCGTTAGACAAGGATTCTACCACTGAACCACAGGGGACTCCTGGAGAGTTAAATAGGCCCAGAGCAAAGCTGGTGTATGTGGTTGGGGTGGAATGGTGCCTGCCTCCGTGCTGAGCCGGAGGGACCTGACCCCAGGCATCAGGACAAGAAGCACTGCTCTGACCCAGACGGCACTTCTGGATCTTTCGTTCATGGCTGTTGAAAGAATCAGTTGGAGATGTTTCCTCTGGCATCTCTAAGCCAGTAATGGTGGATGCCAGGGAGGGCATAGACTAGTCCAGCGGTTCTGAACCTTTTTTGTACTAGGACCCATATGTAAACGTCAGTGGCCAGTCCTGACCCAGTGCCCCCAGGCCCCAGCATGTGGGGCAGGGGGTAGGTGCGTGCATGGGGGGGGAGGCCCAAGCAGCCCCTCACAGGCTGGGACTCTGCCAGCCTGCAAGGGAAAAGCTACTGTTTTCCGTGTTTTTCTTCTTTAAATGGGAATCCATTTTTAAAGTTTGTTTGCGACCCTTTCACATAGTCTTGTGACTCACTTTTGGGTCATGACCCACGGATTGACAAACGCTGAACTAGGAGGATAGATCACTCTGGAGAGATCCAGTCCAGTGGTCTCCCTATATAGCATCTACTTCTGCTGCTGTGGGAGAGGGGATACTGGGCTAGATGGACCATTAGTCTGACCCACCGCTTTTGTTTTTAACCACCTCCCAAGTCATTGATTGGTCACGAACTGTTTCCTCCACCTTGCTGTTCTCTGCCAGATCTTCATTCCTGCAGGATTGCAGGGCAGAGCCCCACACCCTGATCTTCATCCTGACACAGCTAGTTGACAGCAGGGGTGACCAACCCTGGCTCTCTAGGTGTTCATCATCAAGTTGGTTGTTCTTCTTTCTTTTTTTTTTGTTTTCTGGTAGTATCCACTGCCAAACCTGCTTTGGGACTCTTCTGTCCCAGCCCCATAACCAAGCTATCTCATTCTCCTGTGGGATATCAGTCTGGACATCAAGTCTGTACCAGCTTTCTCCACATCTATATTTGAGATATAGCTGTCCCAGTGTGCTTTATGAGATCTATCATAGGCATCCAGGATGAAACAAGTGACATGGGCAGCCTCTGTGTGCGCGACACAGCAGACTGGGGAGGGGACAGACAGCACAGTGGCACAGCAGGCAGGGGCAGGTGATTGGAGCGGCACTTGGGGAGCATTCAGGGCTTATTTGAGTGCTCAGGGCTTATTTGCCTGCTGCAAAGGTTCACACCCACTGATTTACATGATGGAGCTGTTGCTCCTATAGCTGTGCAACAGAGCTGTTTCAGCAAAGTCTCCCCTCAACACCTCCTTGTATGATATTAAGCCACCAGAGACCCTCTTCTGTCGCAAAAGCTGCATCCTGAGCAGGGGTTTTGCCAGCCCCACTGTATCAGCTAAAGGGTCTGATATTTTCATATCCCTAGCAAATATAACTTTTCTGGACAAACTTTGCAGCATAGACTAGACTTTTTCTAAATCTTAACCGTGTAAGACTTGCTCGTCTTACGCACTGTGATTTGTCCCAATGATACTGATGTGTGTAAAGGTGAGGTCCCTGAAGTCTTTGCAGGATCAGAGCCCAATTATGGAGGTGAAGGAAAGTAGCAAGGAGACTGACAAAGGTAGTTAGCTATGGTAGTCTGAAGTCAGGTGGGAGGCAGGACAGGGTGGAACCTTGTAGACTAACTTGTTCAGAAGTGCTTAAGCTTTTGTAAGCAACTGCCTATTTTACCAACTAGTCCATTTGTAGCATCTGACCAAGTAGGCATTTACCTACAGAACCTTAGGCATTTTTGAATAAGTTAGTTGATTAGCAGGGATCCTGGTTTTCTTTGATTAAAACTAAATAAATCCCCACTTTTTGGATTAAAAGAAGCAACTTAAAATCTACATTTTTCCTTGATTAAAATGAAACTCCATTATATACGTGTGTGTGCATGTGCGCGTGTGTGTGTTAGTGGTGTTTCGTTTTAAACATGGAAAAATGTGGACTTTGGGTTACTTTTTGTAATCCAAAAATTGGGGATTTTTTTTTTTAATCAGAGAAAACTAGGTTCCCTGTTGATTAGATGTCACCCTGCCCTGCCTTCTGCAATGAGACTGAAGAAAGATTAAGGGGAGGAGATAAATAGACAATTGGATACTATTTAAGGATAAAATTGAAAGAGCTGCAGTCAGATTGGGAGTAGGGAGGCGGGGAGAAGGAAGATGCATTTAGTATTTGCAGGTAGGGAAGATTCTGATAATCTCTTATTTCTCTGAAGTAATTTCTCTCCAGTTACCACTAAATTCATTATTTCTTCAACAGTTGTTTTTGTGTCAGTCAATAACTGTTGCTTACCTGCTGCTTTTTCCTTTTCCTCAACTGCCTGCCATGATCGATTTTTATTCAGTTTGCTATCTACTTATTCATCTTCTATATGTAGAAACAACTATGTCTGGTATTACATAAATAAGTTGGGTTTTTTTTCTTACAGACTATTTATGGCTTCACAAAAGAAAAAACAAGTCAACCCTTTTGCAGATATATTCAATGAAGACGAAACTGAAAAAGCCTTTCTATTGTCCAAACCAACCTGCTTAATTATCCTTGGAAAGCCAGTAAGACATCCCATTTGAATATGAATATATTTCACTGAAAGTAATTTTGTCTCAAATAGGCTTTATAAAGGTTTTATTTTTTTCTTTAAAAAATTGGCTTAGAAATACTGTCAAAGCTACTGGTGGGCTTGGAATACATTCTTTTCATATCCAAAACTGTTGTGGAGGTCAGTGAGAAACTTGAGAAGGAACAGTCATGGGCCTAAATCTTGTAAGGTTTCTGCTCCAATTAATATCAACAAAAGTTGAAGGCACTGTCAGATTTTCAGCATTAAGTGCTGGCTCTGTCAATGGGAGACAGATCATTTGGAAAACTGCTTTAGTAAAATAAACTTTAGGAAACTGTTTCTCCTGTTGAATGAGTGTTCTGCTATCTTACTGGGATGGTAATTGTGTATGGTCCTTGGTAGGATCATACTTTTGGTTTGAATGACCAGTGAATTAAGTTAGCGGTGTTAATACTTAGAGTAAGGCACTGGCAGATGTTACATTTATTGTGCAATTAACATATTAATGACATGATAAATTGTAACATGTCACAAGTTCAGGGAATTTATGGTGGGATTAACTGGCAAACCAGTTGCATCTGTGTGGCTGGTTTCTATCCAGCATCAAATTGAATGTATGGCATTTGTCCCAGACCCAGGGCTGCCCTCTGCCTCATGCTGACAGTCACTGATTTTCAGCATCAGGCAGGGAACGGGACACAGCTGCCCATATCTGTTGCCAGGGTTCTGGCAGGGGCAGCCTTGGGGTCTGGGTAGAGGGAAGCGTTGGGTCCGAAAGTGGTACTGGAGCTGTGCCTGACGAATCCACAGAGGCAGCCCTGGGTCCCAGGACCTGGCAGCTGCTGCCTGACAGAGCCTGCAGAGGCAGGTCCAGTTCCCAGGTCTGGGCATCTTGGTGTCCTATGCCCTGCAACACTGAGATTTACATGCCCCTGAGTATGGGACTTCTCCTGCTCAGGGACATTTAAAGCTCTATACAACAGCCAATGTAGGGCTGCAGTGCAGGGTTTTATATGTCCCTGCATGGGTGCAGCCTATAAACTCCCCACACTCAGGATATTTAAAGTCCTTTTATGGCATGGACAGCTGAGGATTGGGGAATTCCCAATCTCCAGCTGCAGGACCCAGCAGTTTCATAGTTTCATAGGGTCGGAAGGGACCTGAGGAGATAATCTAGTCCGACCCCCTGCTGTGGCAGGAAAGAGTACTGGGGTCAAATGACCCCGGCCAGATGTTCGTCTAAAGACCCCCAGGGTAGGAGCCAGCAACACTTCTCTTGGAAGTTGGTTCCAGGTCCTAGCTGCTCTGATAGTGAAATAGCGCCTCCTGATGTCTAGCCTGAAACTACCCTCCGCTAGCTTGAGTCCATTGTTTCTTGTAACTCCCAGGAGTGCTCGGGGGAACAGGGACTCTCCCAATGCCTGCTGGTCCCCCTTGACTAGTTTGTAGGCTGCCACTAGATCCCCTCTCAGCCTTCTCTTTTGGAGGCTGAACAGGTTCAGGTCCCTCAGCCTCTCCTCACAGGGCCTGCCCTGCTGACCCCTGATCGTGCAGGTGGCCCTCCTTTGGACCCTCTCCATGTTGGGCACATCCCTCCTGAAGTGCGGCGCCCAGAACTGGACGCAATATTCCAGCTGCGGCCTGACCAGTGCCGCATGGAGGGGGATGGTTGGCCTTCCTGACCGCGTCCCCACTTTGGTCGGCCCATGTTCATTGTGGCATCAATGATGACTCCAAGATCCTTTTCTGTCTCGACACTGGCGAGAAGGGAGTTCCCCAGCCTGTATGTGTGCTGCTGGTTCTTCCTCCCCAGGGACATTACCCTGTACTTATCAGTGTTGAACCCCATCCTGTTCTCATCAGCCCACCCCTGTAACCTGTCTAGACCTGCTTGCAGCCTGTTCCTTCCTACTAGCGTACCCACTTCACCCCACATCATGCGATTGGGATCTAAGAAATTTTTATTCTCATATTAATATATCTGCCAGAAGCCTACGGGGCACATGTTATTACAGGTTTTCCTCTGTTTTTTTTACAGTGCCAATGTATAATATTCAGGTTTCCCTCGCTTTATGCTGTACATGCATTCCTGGAAAATGGTGCCTAACTTGAGTTCGCATAAAGGGAACTGTAACAAGAGGGCGGTCAGGGTCACCATGCCGTCTCCTGCCACCTCCTTTACCGTGTCACATTGCTGGCTGGCACCCTCTAATTCTCGCCCGCCATAACTTTGATCTTCTGTATCTATATATTATAGGGAGGCTGCCTTTCGTCCCCTGTTCCACGGTTATCCATTTATCTCCAGTTCCTCTGCACTCTAGCCTTATGGCTATGCGTGGCTCCAACCACCCCCATATCACGCCCCAAGCCTCACAGATGTAACAGACGTTGTTCTGTCTCTCTCCGTCTCCATTCCCTCTCTGACCCTTGGGCGCTCGGCAGCCCTGTCTCTCTCTCGGTGCCCTCTCTCCAGGGCCTTCTCAGTAATGCCGCCCCCTCTCTCCGGGGCCTTCTCAGTAATGCCGCCCCCTCTCTCCGGGGCTCACCACAATGCTGCACCCTTCTCCGGGGCTTCTCAGCTGCCCCTCTCTGGGGCTGGGGTCTGTGCACCCTGAATGCTGCACCCTCACTGGCACTGTGAGTCTCCTTTGAGGCCTCCTCCAACCCCTAATAGCCTCACCCAAACCACAGGTGTAACAAGTAGCAACACCAACACAAGCCTCTTGGCTATAACGTAAACAGAAGCCGCCCAGCCATAACAACAGTCAATCCTACCAAGGATCCTTTCTCTCTCTGCAGTATCAGATGCAGCTCTTTCCTCAGACCTCTCCTTTATAACGTGGCTGAGAGCTCCCTCCTCCTTGGCTGCTGGTAGGGAACTGCCTCTGGCCTCCTGCCTGTGCTTTATATAGGAGCCAGGCCCTGCCCCTTCTCATCAGCTGGCTAGGCAGGTGTGGGTCATTATTTCCCACAAGGTTCCTCAGCAACTGGCACCTGAGGGGTTATCCCGGCTCTTCCAGTAGCAGGCACCTTAGTGCCCTGCTACAGGAACCCACTTTAAAATGTAACAAATAGGGATAAATTCCAAGGGATACATTCCAAGACCTTGACTGTACTGACCCATTTCTACCACTTTTACAAGATAATTTTGGTACTCACCAAGAGCAGAGAGGGGTAGGAGATAAGCTAGCAGGACGCTTAGAAGCCACAGTGGGGATGGCAACTACACAAACACACGTTGCAGACAACAAGCAGGGAGCACAAATCCACACAGGTGACTATATTTTGGTGCTTATCACTCCCACAATGCACTGCACAAATCAGCTAACTGCGGGCTTCCAGCACACTGATCGCATAAGAGTGAATTTACCTTGCATATAACAAATTTTGGGCATAAAAGGGTCATTGCATAAGAGCAAATTCACATATACAGAACCTGCATGAAGCAAGGGAAACCTCTAATTGAGATTACAGAGATGTGGTGGGATAGTTCACATGACTGAAGTGCAGTCATGGATAAGTATAGCTTGTTTGGAAAGCATAGGAAGGGTACAAAAAGGCAGAGGTATTGCCCTACATATAAAGGCAGAGCCAACCCAAGCAGGATGCGGGGCCCAGGGCAAATCAGCTCATGCAGGGCCCCACTTCCACCTTGATCCTCTTGCCCTGGGTGTGAAGAAGCTGCCACTGCTGCCTGCCGGTGGGGGCGAGGTAGCAAGTGATCGGATGCGAAGCCGGCGGCGGCGATGCAGAGTCACCACAGCCACTCTGCCCAGCTCTGTAGCGGGGTCCCAAAGCAAAGGGCCCAGGGCAGTCACCCCAATTCCCCCCCCACAAGGTTGGCCTTGCATAGAGGTGAGGTATATGTGTTCTGAAATGCAGTATGAAGTAGGAGGCAAGCCTGTTGAAAGCTTCCAGGTACATGTCAGAAGAGAGAGCTAAAAGGGGGATGCGATGGTAAGCATCTCTTACAGGCTTCTACACCAAGAGGAGGAGGTGGATGAGGCTTTCTATTCATAGTTTGATAGATTTTTAGGCTCTGGAAGGGACTTTACAGATCATCTGGTCCAGCCCCCTGCACTTGGGCAGGAAAGACCACTGGGGTCAGATGACCCAGCAAGATGGGGTTCAAGATGTTTTTTGAAGATCACCAGGGTGGGTGACTGTACCACCTCTGGGGGTAGTCTGTTCCAAACCCTCAGTACTTGACTTGTAAAGAAGTTTTTTTCTTATGTCTAGTCTGAAGTGCTCTTCAAACAGCTTGTGCCCATTATTTCTAGTCCTCCCCTGGAGGGCCTTGGTGAATAGTTTTAAAGAAGTGATGGAAGCTTCCAGATCACAGGATCTGGTTTTCATATGGCACTTCAATTATGGAGCTCACAACAGTTCACAAGCAGCCCTGGAGTGCGCTGGGGATAACTTTTTGATACAGATGGTAGAGAAGGCAACTATA